TTAAGTATATATGTATGTGTAACATATATACTTAAACCCGGTTCGTCGCCATATTGACCCATTATAAAAAAAAACTTTTTGGAAATACCTGGTCACTTCCACGCCACGAAGTACATAAGCAGCGTCTGGTGGACAGACATACACAACCATTCCATAACCTCAAAATTTTAAATAAACCAACTTCTATAACCCCAACAGGAAAAACAGGTCTGGTGGACAGACGCACACATGAGCTGAACCAGAAGACAACAATTTTGAAATTATTTTTGAATACGATATTTTGGGAAAACGAGCCTGGTGGACAGACACATAATTTTTTTATTTTTGTTTAACATTTTAATAACCAGATCATCGAACTGATGTCCTACTCATGTAACTCACAATAATTCTTCCTTTGCAGCATTTTTAAATATTTTGTTTGCATCTGTCAAGGCCTCTGTAGCCTTGAAGATCTAAAAAAAAAATAATTTCTGTGACCCAAAATAGTTTCTAGCGTTTTTTCGCTGAAATATTTTGCTGGTAAATCTTTTGTTTGTCTTTTTTAAAAAAGTGTGGCATACAACCTCCTCATCTGGACTAAGGATCAAGACTCCTATTTTTTTTATCGGAAAGTATATTTCTTCGCTTGATTCCAATTATTACCTCGAAATTGATCAGCTTCTAACGGCACCATTCGGAAATTTTTGGATTTTTTTCTTTTGTTTTATACAAAAGTTTGTCCTTTACGTTATTGACACAGCCGAATTCAGAGGTTACTCTCACCAAAGATTCTAAGGAAGCAATTTTCGAAATTTTGCAAGTCAAAATTTAACTAAGATTTTAACTTCTTTACGAATTTAGCCCTTTTCGTTGGGCAACTTTCTCATTTTTGGCGTTGGGCTACTTTCTCAAACCCAAGCCCAAACTTTAAAATGGACAAAACTTTGTGCGATAAAATCGCCAATGGCCTTCAGGATTATATTTCTATATTTCCAATTACGAACCCGGATGATACCATACACACCCTGGAAACTACTCGGATGGAATTAAATTCCACATGGGACCAGGTTAAGAGGGCTTACGTGGATTGTCGAGACCATACTCCGGAGAAGGAGGAGAAACCCATCGACAAGAACAAGTTAAGGAAACATTATATGGAGGCAATGGTACTGAGCGCAATAAATTTGCAGATACAAACAGCACTGGATAACCAAACGTTGGAAAAAACAAAAAGGGAGTCAGAGAGGTCACACCAAGAAAAGGAGATGGATTTTACGCCAGTATCCCTCTGCCACTATGCGACACAGACATATTCAAAGGAGGTTACAGTGAATGGCCCTCTTTTAGGGATTTATTTTCCGTCATTTACATCAGGAATTCAAAATTAAGCAAGGTTGAAAAATTATTCCATCTGACACAGAAAACTTCTGAAGAGGCAAGAGAGATCATTAGTTACGTTCCACTCACCAACGATGGATTTGACTTAGCATGGAAAAATCTCATTGATCGCTATGAGAATAAAAGGATGCATGTCAATGAATTAATCAAGACTTTTTTTAACTTACCAAATGTCTCAACTGATTCAAGTCAGACTATACAGAAGCTGCAACGCACTGTGAACAGCTGCATTCAAACGTTGGAGACCCTTGATGTCGATGCTAAAGGATGGGATCCTATTTTAATCTATATTTGTTCCACGAAATGACCCAGAAATTTCCTGGTGGAGTTCGAGAATTCACTAGCGGATTGCCAACTTCTTCCAAAATGGGAACAATTTGATGCGTTTTTGTCAAATAAATTCAAAACAATGGAATCATTCAAAACAATGGAATCAGTCAATATAAAGCCAACAATTTCTAAAATCAGCCAATCAAAACCAGCTGGTAACAATAAAACGAGATTTTTTAACTCGTTTCAAACGAATTTTTCCAAAGATGGTCACCAATCGGGAGGAAAAGAAACACCCTACAATCAGACTCAAACAAGCAGAACATTATGCCATTATGTAAATGCCCATTATGTAAAGCCAATCACTTCATAAGAGATTGCAATGAGGTTTCGAGAAGGAATGTGAATGATAGAATTCACTTGATGAAAACTTCACACCTATGCTACAACTGTTTGTCATCCAATCATGTAGTAAGGGATTGCAAAAGTCGCTTTGGTTGTCGAACTTGTACAATGAGACACCACACTTTGTTACACAAGGGAACGGAAACCCAATCAACAAACACATACCTAGCTCGAGTGGAGGCACAACCTAGTAACAGTGCTGCCACTCTCACAAATCAAATACAGTCCACAACAAATGAAGAACCAACTATTGTCATTACCGTGACAGTTCAGGATACTCATGTTGATACTCAACAATCTGGAGGAACTTTACTTTTTACAGCAATAGTACAAATCGAAGCTAAAGGACAACTCTACAATGCCAGAGCACTCGTTGACTCTGGATCACAGTCAACATTTATTTCGGAAAAAATGAAGAACCTGTTGAAACTGCCAACTCGAAGTAACTTGATTCATGTAACGGGACTTAGTCAATTTGTGTCTGAAACTTCATCGAAGTCTTGCCTATTCACAATGCGATCCAAATACGGCCCTAGTTTCAAATTGGAGGTATGGGCTCCAGTTTTGCGAACGTTGCCTTCAAATTCTACATCAGTCAACCCATTGACTTACTTATTGGAATGGACATAGTACCATAAATATTCACAATTTGGAACACCAATGAAAATATTTGGATCAATTTTAACACAACAAACCAAATTTCGGTGGATCGTTGGACCATACAAAGAAATCAAATTTCACTGCTTAGCACCACATCAATTGAGAAAGTACTTACACGTTTTTGGGAGGTGGAAGAGACCCCTAACAAAGGTTTACGGTCAGAGGAAGACCAATTTTGCGAACGAAATTTTACGGAATAAGGATGGAAGATATGTGGCTACTCTCCCATTCAAAAAATGCGAGGAATTAGGAAATTCCAGAAACATCGCCTTGGCTCAAATCTACAGAATGGAGAAAAAGCTCATGAAAACACCCGAGATATAGGAACAATATGATAATTCGATACTCGAATACTTGGATCTTGGACGTATGCGAAAAATTCACAAAAATGAAATTGAGAACATGCCAAATTATTATCTACCACATCATGCTGTAATAAAACCATATCGACTCACTACGAAGTTTCGAGTGGTTTTCAACGCTTCTTGTCCCTCAGCAAACAAAACAAGCCTCAATGACACATTATTTCCTGGACCCATTTTACAGCAAGATCTGTTATTACAAAACTTAAAATGGCGATTTTTTAAATACGTTTTTAACGCAGACATCAGAAAGATGTATCGGCAAAGAATACTCTTCAGACAGTCAACTGACGACCCCATCGAAGACTATGAACTACTGACAGTTACATTTGGAGTTAACTGTGCACCATATTTGGCATTGAGGACCCTTCAAAAACTGGCAGAGGACATAAAGGATGTGTATCCAAGAGCCGCAAATATAATTTTAAATAATCTGTACGTGTATGATGTATTAGCTGGTGGTCACACGGAAGAAGAATCCATCGAAGCTCGTAAGGAATTAACTGCCGCTCTAGCCTCGGCTGGATTTCAACTCATGCAGAGGGCATCAAACGACCACAAGATTATTGAAGATATTCCACAAGAAAAATTACTACCTCTCAATTGGTTAGACATTTCGGAAGATGCATCCACAAAGACATTGGGAATTAGATGGAATATTTTTGACGAATTTTTCTCGTTCACACCGCCGGCAATGGAAAAGCACAATACCGCAACCAAACGAGAAGTCCTATCAACAATAGCCAAATTATTTGACCCTTGCGGTTGGCTAGCGCCAGTCCTGGTTGTAGCCAAGTTAATAATGCAACAAATCTGGCAAGATAAAATAGGCTGGGATGACCCGTTGAAGCCAATGACCCAAATTAACTGGAATAATTTTGTAAAAAACAGCAAAGAAATCGAATTTCTGAAGGTTCCAAGATGGATAAGATTCACTGCAGATGATTCCGTAGAAATACATGAATTTTGCGATGCTTCGGAAAACGCATACGGAGCTACATTATATATTCGAATCGAAAACAAAGATTCTAGCACTCATGCATTTCTATTGACCGCCAAGACCCGAGTTACACCAATCAAGAAACTGTCAATTCCGCGTCTAGAATTATGCGGAGCTGTACTACTCTCCAAATTAGGCGCATCCATTATAAAAAACCTGCAAATAACATCATACTCGACACACTTTTGGACGGATTCAAAAATCGTCCTTGCATGGCTGAAAAAGCATCCTTGCCATTGGAATGCCTTCGTGGGAAATAGAATTTCGGACATTTCTGAGAATGTTGGCCAAGAAAATTTGAGACATGTTGATTCCGAAAGCAACCTAGCCGACATTGCGAGTCGAGGATGTGCACCTCTGGATTTAAAGACTCAGGAACTCTGGAGGTATGGACCCCAGTGGCTTAAATTACCCAAGGCTAGGTGGCCATCGTATAAAGTTCATGAGGACACGAGTTTAGAAGCAAAAACAGTAAAAGCCTTGACCCTATTTCAAGAAAAGGATGATCCACTCAAAAATTTCTCATCTTTGTCCAGAGTATATCGGACCCATGGGGAAAACAGGCAACATTTGCGAAAATCGTCGACAGATCTTTCGGCACTAGAAGTTCAGGATGGAAAAAGGGCTAACATAATTTGAACGCAGAAGTTCTTTTATCCCGAAGAATATAAATCACTGGAAAGTAAGGCCCGAATTTCTCCATCCAGCTGCATTCAAACGTTGGAGACCCTTGATGTCGATGCTAAAGGATGGGATCCTATTTTAATCTATATTTGTTCTACGAAATTACCTGATGGAGTTCGAGAATTCACTAACGGATTGAAAACTTCTTCCAAAATGGGAACACTTTGATGCGTTTTTGACAACTAAATTCAAAACAATGGAATCAGTCGGGAACATAAGCCAACAAATTTTAAAATCAGCCAATCGAAACCAGCTGGTAACAATAAAACGAGATTTTTGAACTCGTTTCAAACGAATTTTTCCAAAGGTGGTCACAAATCGGGAGGAAAAGAAACACCCTACAATCAGACTCAAACAGGCAGAACATCTAGTCCCCAACAATGCCCATTATGTAAAGCCAATCACTTCATAAGAGATTGCAATGAGGTTTTGAGAAGGAATGTGAATGATAGAATTCACTTGATGAAAACTTCACACCTATGCTACAACTGTTTGTCATCCAATCATGTAGTAAGGGATTGCAAAAGTCGCTTTGGTTGTCGAACTTGTACAATGAGACACCACACTTTGTTACACAAGGGAACGGAAACCCAATCAACAAACACATACCTAGCTCGAGTGGAGGCACAACCTAGTAACAGTGCTGCCACTCTTACAAATCAAAAAATACAGTCCACAACAAATGAAGAACCAACTACTGTCACTACCTTGACCGTTCAGGATACTCATGTTGATACTCAACAATCTGGAGGAACTTTACTTTTTACAGCAATAGTACAAATCGAAGCTAAAGGACAACTCTACAATGCCAGAGCACTCATTGACTCTGGATCACAGTCAACATTTATTTCGAAAAAAATGAAGAACCGTTTGAAACTGCCAACTCGAAGTAACGTGATTCATGTAACGGGACTTAGTCAATTTGTGTCTGAAACTTCAACGAAGTCTTGCCTATTCACAATGTGATCCAAATACGACCCTAGTTTCAAATTGGAGGTATGGGCTCCAGTTTTGCGAACGTTGCCTTCAAATTCTACATCAGTCAACCCATTGACTTACTTATTGGAATGGACATAGGACCATTAATATTCACAATTGGAACACCAATGAAAATATTTGGATCAATTTTAACACAACAAACCAAATTTGGATGGATCGTTGGACCATACAAAGAAATCAAATTTCACTGCTTAGCACCACATCAATTGAGAAAGTACTTACACGTTTTTGCGAACGAAATTTTACTGAGACAACAATATGGAATAAGGATGGAAGATATGTCATGACTCTCCCATTCAAAAAATGCGAGGAATTACGAAATTCCAGAATTATCGCCTTGGCTCAAGTCTACAGAATGGAGAAAAAGCTCATGAAAACACCGAGATAAAGGAACAATACGATAATTCGATACTCGAATACTTAGAGCTTGGACATATGCGAAAAATTCACAAAAATGAAATTGAGAACATGCCAAATTATTATCTACCACATCATGATGTAATAAAACCAGATCGACTCACTACGAAGTTGCGAGTGGTTTTCAACGCTTCTTGTCCCTCAGCAAACAAAACAAGCCTCAATGACACATTATTTCCTGGACCCATTTTACAGCAAGATCTGGTATTATAAATCTTAAAATGGCGATTTTTTAAATACGTTTTTAACGCAGACATCAGAAAGATATATCGACAGATACTTTTGGATCCGACCCAAACCAAATTTCAAAGAATACTCTTCAGACAGTCACCTGACGGCCCCATCGAAGACTATGAACTACTGACAGATACATATGGAGTTAACTGTGCACCATATTTGGCATTGAGAACCCTTAAAAAACTGGCAGAGGACATAAAGGATGTGTATCCAAGAGCCGCAAATATAATTTTAAATAATCTGTTGTAACGAACCACCACACGGGCTCTACTTCCTCCGGGAGTAGCTACCTCCTTGCCCGGCGGTGCTCAGTCTTGGGGCAGTTCTTTCCTTTCAGAAGTAGACACGGTTTCGTAAACATAAAAGTTAAAATAAGGTAGCTTTTTTTAAAAGATAGGATAGACAAGAAATGAATGGAAGAAAAGTAAAGAGAAGTAGAAAGAAATATGATGATGTTACCAATAGGCAGTGATAGATGACAAATCACTGCTCAGCGTACCCTCCCTACCATGCTGAGTTATTATTATTCAGCCCTATAGACCTCTTTACTTACAGACCTTTCCCTTTCGCAAATTAATAATGACTAAAACTTAAAAATTCATAGTATCCGTATATTAAAATTAGTTAATTAATTAAAACAATACCAATGAACACGTAAGAGCAATTAATTATATATGGTAGAAACGAGATATGTATATCGTGTAATGGAACAAAAAAGGTAAATCTATAACTGTTATTATTTCTGGATATCGATATAAATTAGTTCTTTTTTTATGTAATAAAAATGTATCTCCAACAAATACGTATAATTATAGTGATGGATTTATGAGCTAATGCAAACGTAATAAAAAAAACTCACCATTTAATTCCGCGTTGTCATCAGGCCTGTTGACTTGGGGTTGTTTAAAATGGATCCAAGGCTGTTGTTATTATTAGAAATAAGATTAAGTTTGCTTAGCTCAATCCTTATGTGTAGTGCTGTTTAATATCAATATCGAATACTAGGTTAAATTATAATTTTAAAACTGTGAATGCCTTCTTAAATCACGGTTGCTTGATCTTCCATAAATTTATGTTCCTTTGAATCTATGTGTGGTCGTCTTCCTTACGGAGCTGACAAATCCAGATTCGTATTTCCTCAGATAGCTTCTTTAGATTTGATTGATATTTTAATTAGGTTCTGGCAAATGTTCCCCTTAAGGATTGTTCAATGCAATATATTTATTTTCATCCTTGGGGTTAATTTAGCTGATTTGTGGCTGATAAATCCAAATTTTATTTAATCCGATTGAATTTGTAGTAAATAAATTCTATCGTTAGGTATTTTCTTGATGCTTTCCAGCGGATGTCAATGATTTCGCAGAAATAATGAAAGCGTATTCCAGCGCCGATCCACGAAAACCAAATGGTATTAAATCTTCCTAGTTCCCAAAAATTCCTCAGATTTCAAAAATTTTCCTTTCCTTTTTTTTGTAATAAAATATCTTTTCACTTCAACTTTCCACAATCGAATCAATCTAAAAATTTTGGTATACAAAATTTGTATAGAAAATTTTTGGAATTTTCTAGTTCTAATTTCATAGCCTCTCTAGTTTTATCCAACACAAGTATATATTCCTATTACCCCAACCAGTATTAATTATGTTCTAATATTGGTCGGTCACAAACAATTAAATGGCCCCACGTTGGGCGCCATTTAATTTATGTAACGAACCACCACACGGGCTCTACTTCCTCCGGGAGTAGCTACCTCCTTGCCCCGGCGGTGCTTAGTCTTGGGGCAGTTCTTTCCTTTCAGAAGTAGACACGGTTTCGTAAACATAAAAGTTAAAATAAGGTAGCTTTTTTTTAAAAGATAGGATAGACAAGAAAAGAATGGAAGAAAAGTAAAGAGAAGTAGAAAGGAATATGATGATGTTACCAATAGGCAGTGATAGATGACAAATCACTGCTCAGCGTACCCTCCCTACCATGCTGAGTTATTATTATTCAGCCCTATAGACCTCTTTACTTACAGACCTTTCCCTTTCGCAAATTAATAATGACTAAAACTTAAAAATTCATAGTATCCGTATATTAAAATTAGTTAATTAATTAAAACAATACCAATGAACACGTAAGAGCAATTAATTATATATGGTAGAAACGAGATATGTATATCGTGTAATGGAACAAAAAAGGTAAATCTATAACTGTTATTATTTCTGGATATCGATATAAATTAGTTCTTTTTTTATGTAATAAAAATGTATCTCCAACAAATACGTATAATTCTAGTGATGGATTTATGAGCTAATGCAAACGTAATAAAAAAAACTCACAATTTACTTCCGCGTTGTCATCAGGCCTGTTGACTTGGGGTTGTTTAAAATGGATCCAAGGCTGTTGTTATTATTAGAAATAAGATTAAGTTTGCTTTGCTCAATCCTTATGTGTAGTGCTGTTTAATATCAATATCGAATACTAGGTTAAATTATAATTTTAAAACTGTGAATGCCTTCTTAAATCACGGTTGCTTGATCTTCCATAAATTTATGTTCCTTTGAATCTATATGTGGTCGTCTTCCTTACGGAGCTGACAAATCCAGATTCGTATATCCTCAGATAGCTTCTTTAGATTTGATTGATATTTTAATTAGGTTCTGGCGAATGTTCCCCTTAAGGATTGTTCCATGCAATATATTTATTTTCATCCTTGGGGTTGATTTAGCTGATTTGTGGCTGATAAATCCAAATTTTATTTAATCCGATTGAATTTGTAGTAAATAAATTCTATCGTTAGGTATTTTCTCTATGCTTTCCAGCGGATGTCAATGATTTCGCAGAAATAATGAAAGCGTATTCCAGCGCCGATCCACGAAAACCAAATGGTATTAAATCTTCCTAGTTCCCAAAAATTCCTCAGATTTCAAAAATTTTCCTTTCCTTTTTTTTTGTAATAAAATATCTTTTCACTTCAACTTTCCACAATCGAATCAATCTAAAAATTTTTGTATACAAAATTTGTATAGAAAATTTTTATAATTTTCTAGTTCTAATTTCATAGCCTCTCTAGTTTTATCCAACACAAGTATATATTCCTATTACCCCAACCAGTATTAATTATGTTCTAATATTGGTCGGTCACACTGTACGTGTATGATGTATTAGCTGGTGGTCACACGGAAGAAGAATCCATCGAAGCTCGTAAGGAATTAACTGCCGCTCTAGCCTCGGCTGGATTTCAACTCATGCAGTGGGCATCAAACGACCACAAGATTATTGAAGATATTCCACAAGAAAAATTACTACCTTCAGTAGTG